ACAAACGTAATTTATTTACGTCAAATCAAAGTAACTATGTCACTGAGTAATAGGTGATACTTACTATTCAAGAAAAATACTACATAACTTATTCGAGTATTTTTTTTTTTATCTACTTTGTAAAGCTTGGTTTTAATTATTTTCCTACTTCGTTGAATTCATACGTTATATACATATAAAGTACCTAAATACTCTTATTTAAATATACATTAAGACAAACACTTTTTTGTCCGTATTAAATCCATAAATATTAAAATTAAATTAAATAGTTGTTCGACCCTTGGCAACATGCGCCATTGGGTGTGTGTGGGGGTTGTGGTTGAAACATGTATTATTTGATGTGGGCCAAGGATTCATCGCCAAGAACCCGGGTAGGTCACCCATCCGGGAGCCAGCGACGTCGGGCGATGCTTGACCGCAGCACACATTAGTGACTGCGGCCAACCTGCACCAAGCTTTGCCAGGCTACTAAAATTAAATTATATATATTGTAAATGGCGAAGGGTTACTAGAGCTATTGAATTTTAAATTATTAATCACAAAAAAGTTTTATTTTTTAAGACAAAAAAAATTATCTTTTTAAAGCGGTTTTTAAAAATTAAAACTCAGACAGAAGTCTCTATACAGAAACTTAAAATTTTAATTTTACCAAGGGTTAAATATCTGAAAAGTCATTCTTCGAATTTCTTAAGAATTTCTCGTAAAACCCTCCGTAAACCTCAAAGTAACGGAGGAGAAACGTCGTAATAGCAACTCCACCCGTTTGTGTTGTCTGTCTTGCAAAAGCATAAGGCACATAACATAGAAAATTATACGTTCTAAATAATATATTTAACTGAGGTGTGTTTAATATAAGAGCAAATTGACCTATTATAACATTTAGGAATAATAATAATACCCAGTGAATCTCAAAGGATTTTTTCCATATTTTAATTTTAAAGCAAGTTATGACTTTATGTGTATTTCAAAAAGCACGAAAAATTTACGATTTTCAAATGCTCATAACCTGTTCCAATATTAAACATAACGGAGTTAAATGGATTATTCAGAACGTGCAATTTGCCATGTTACGCGTTCGTAAGATGGAGACAGCTTAATATAGCTTAATATTAGTTTGTAATTTATTATAATAATATAGGTTTTTATTAAAACTATAATAAGTAGGTTAAAGTAATTGTTTACATTTCAACAAACCAAAAACCACCCTCAAAGTTGAAAATTGAAGCATTTTCAGTGCTTCTAAAGGTGTGGACAGACAAATAAAACAATAAAAAACAATTACCCTTGTAAAACCAATACAATAATCGCTTCACTCAAAATCTAAAAAATTAATATTCATTATGTATTAAAAATATATTTTTATTAATTTGAAATTGTCGAATAATTGTTTGATATTTTTTTCCTATTTAAACAAATAAATAAATACCTATTATCTGTCAGTTTATTCGCGTGTGTTTTCGCGCATTCGTGTCACTCAGTATTATTTAGAGTTATGATTAAGAATAAAATGTAAGACTAAATGTTTATGGCTATTTTGAACAGTTTACTCACTTATACTCGAAACAAACAGAATTCCAATATTATTGAAAACCGATAAGGCAGTACAACGACAAAAGTTTAAATTGTTGCAAAACTGTTGGACGACTCTCTAGTGGTAAGACGTGGGCGCGATCAACAAGCGGAATTGCGATATTATATCCGACTGAGTCTCTTGCAAATGTAAGTAGGTCAGATTTCCAGAGCTCGATCGGCGGTTAGGAAGACACGTCTTCATAGGTTAAAATGTATTCACGTAATATGTGGTGGCCAACAAAAATGTCATGGCTGATGACCTTTGACGTCAACCTCCATAAAAAAAAACCTAAGCAATTTGTTTTAGAAACTGTTGCCTATGCATACATGTACAGTAATATGCTTCTCTCTCAAAAAATCCACCAAAAGAATGTTGATTTCTGAACTCTTATTAAAAACACGAGAGCATATAATAGTAGGTATAGTAAGTTGTTGCCGAATAATACGCCTATAGCCCATCATAAGTTCATATGTCTAGCGCCCCGAAATCTAAATTCAAAATATTTGACTCGTCCACGCTTGTACGTGATACACATCTTACTATTTTTACTGGCGTGATATTTAATATGTTATTGACATAATTCGAAATTCTGCGAGAAGATGATTTCGCAGGTGTGGCCATGTTAGATCATTACTATCCTAATAATTGTATTTCTTATTGCGACGCGTTGTACGGCGTTCCATGATCGACCCAATCGTCGAAAATGCAAAATAACGTCACACACGACACACACGTACATGCATGTCTTACTGTTCGCGTTTGAGTTATTTTAAATTACAGCGAAACTTCCACATAACAGTGCTGTAACTAGAAAGCCAAAGACCCAGGTGTGTATGCGGTTCCCTCTTTTTTGAACATCATACAGTTAACACATAAAAAAGACAGACTTGATAGTGGGTATTCTTTACAGTTCAGTTAGGACACTGCTGGTTAGGTTTCATTGGTGGATGTATTGCATTTTTAAAAACCGATAAATAATTGCCTCGTCGAAACAATCAACAAATCTATTCATTTCGCCCAATCTCTTTATAGGCTCTGAGTAATTTCTCCAATATTTAGATGAATAATTCCAAGTCGAAGCGGTCCAGGCTTTTACATATTTTGCTTTCCACTATACGCGATCGAATACAAGATATCGATAAAATTATTATGGATCAAATCAATGGGCAAATGAATAACAAAAACATCTGCAGACAGCAATGGGCCCTACGACTCAGCGGGCCCCAGTGCCCCCTCGGAACCACCTGCACTCATGATTTTTACGGCGCTGTCCATATTATTACAAATATATCATGGTATCATCGTATGATTGAACACAAAAAACAATTAGTATCGTTCGTACGATTGCAGTTTGTTAACTAGAACAAAATAAATTTGGCACAAGAAAAATATTCTGAAACGTGAGCTCGTTGTAATATTATTACGAAAGTTCCGCCGTGCGTATGTTGGCCGATCCGCGATCGCTCAATTACACGTATGATTTTATACACACCAATATATAAGAGCGTATAATATCATAGTATACTCTGAATCGGGTGTGTTTGTCGTCCGGGTGGGTTTCAATTGGGTCACACCCTTTCTTTTGTGTGTGCGTAGCATTGCGGCAGTAACCAAAGGTAAAATTGATGGTCGGCGTATGAATTAATGTCAGCGTGACATCGGAGCAACCGCAAACAACAATGGTGAATTCAGTGACAAAACGAGTCAATGCTCGGCTATATTATATGGCGTGCGCGTATAGGTATCATAGTGACGTATCAGAGTTTCGCAGTATAATCAGTTTTCAATTGATTCGCATTTTCTATGTACGCGAGACGCGTCCTGTTCGGGTCGGAGTAGATTAAAGCGTAAAATATAACACGATAATAATATAATATATGACCTATACGTATCCGACGGACGACACACTCGCGGTTAACCGCAATTTACGAATATCATTTTATTGATATCGCAATTCAATTAAGTATTGTCACACGTCGTGTATATTTTATATGGTTATATATTTTTTTTACTTGGAGTATTACAGCGCGTGACAGGCTCTATTGTACAGTAAACACGCGTACGTAACATTATGTTGTGTTCGCAGCCAAAGCCGATCGCTACGATATAGTGCAGGTACAACAGAGCGATCGGGACGTTCGGAAATTTATGTTAACGACTCCGGGGAGCCGCGTTGAAAATTGTAGTGTCATTGATTGAACGATAAAGATACACGCACAAACTATAATATGTAGAGTCGTCTCTCCCCGGCGGAATAACAATAAGGTGTCTAAAGAATATTGGAATTTGTTTTTCCGACGTACACACTTCAATCGCAGCCATTCGGGCACGCCATTTTATGGTAACGGTCCCGCGTCGTTGAAATGATCGTTTTATGTCTGTGTAGTTATCATTGGATATATCATGGGACGTGTTTTGGGGATTCTTCGGCGGATAAAGAAGTCGCGGTGCTGTGAAAGTCTGTCTTTATGATGCAATCAGTTTTGATTACCACCCGTTTTCCCTTGGCGCATTCTAAACGCCGTTATGGACAAACTGAGACTTCTGCGATGGTTTTCTTGTCGTCTCCGAAAGTTGCCACTCATTAAGAGACTCGAATTAATCGTATTGCAAATCGCAAAGCCATTTGACCGTGTAATAATAAATTCCAGGGCGAAATAACAATAACACGGTCTGGCGTTGAAATTGTTGAACTTATTTTTTACGATTGCTAGGCAAACAGCGATCACCGTTAGCAATTGTTGTTATTGTCGATGATGGTTTTGCAAAACCAAGCTCGGGACAAATTCAGATTATTAGTTTAATAGAGAATCATTTATGGAATGATAATAATATACATTTCATAAAAGCATTATATGTGTGTCACTACGAACGACTTAATTAACTTGAAATAATCTATGTGGGTTGGATGGTTAATATTAAATTATTATGTTTATGGTGTAAGTATAAGCTCATATAAAATGAAAATAAATGAGCGAGTTTAATTTATTAATTGCCTTTTCGGTTATTATAAATAATGTAGGTTTTGTGATGAACGACGAGCTGGTAAGCTTTACTCCATTTTTATTAACTCCAATTTGAAATATAGTTTGGAAACCTATGAGCAAATAATTAATTAACACTAATACCACTAGTCATTGCGAATACCACTATTTACAGGGTGTCCTCTATTTACGATATTTTCCCAAATATTTTATTATATTAATACTACTTTTATGTTATTTTTTTTCATGACGTTTATGTACAGACTTTCATATTAGGTACACATACAATACACGCGATACATATATACATGTGTATATATGTACGGTACCGCGGTCTAAGTATGCAATAAACACGCTGTTTCATATTTATACAATACCAAGTGGCTTATTAAATGCTGTAATTATATACTGCACGGCGGTCAGAATACACCGAGTGCGCTTACCTAGAATAGAGACGCGTGACAAGAATTCTTCGTACATTTTCCTCTTTCGGATCGTCGACCCCATAAGTATTCTCCTGTAACTGTCTCGATCCAAGCCCCAGAGCTTCATGTCAGTCTTAGCACGCACCGTGGCGGCCCTCGGTGTACCGTGGATCAAAGCCAGCTCTCCAAAACTCCCGCCTTCGCCGATCACCGTCACCAGTTCCGAATTTACGTACACCTGAATCGTACGCACAATACACGCACAATGAAAAATACCGAATAAACGGTGACAATAAAACGGGGTGAGCTCAATTACCTCAACTTCGCCAACATCGATCACGTAAAAATTGTCTCCTTCGTCACCCTGTTGAATAATAGATTCGCCCTGTAGAAACGTCACCTGGAACATTGCGTCGAAAATGTCCGACCGTTCGTTCTCGTCCAGGTGAGAGAACAATATGTTCTTGGCGATCGCTTTCGATAAGGCCGCCATTGTTTTGTAATCTTTTGGCACTACCTGAAATGTATCGAAGAAGAAATGATTATTAAAACGAAAAAAAAATTAGGTGCACTCCTACTACATACCAATATGAGTAATAATTAATAACAAGGAAACAATAATCGTGTTCATTGCTCAATGATATAAAAAAAAAGAAAAGAAAATAACATAGTATTCACAGGTACCTATACACATCTCAATACATTTTAACAAGATAATTCAATGGGTATTCAATATGTATTAATAACTTTTTTAAATTTACTTAACTAACCCGAATTCAATATTATAGATTTGAGTATTAATAACTAATATAATAAATTAATGTAGAAGGTGTATTGCAAATACTAAAATAGAGTATACATTTACACTTAGATGTTCTAATAAAATAATGACTTTCACTTCATCTTTATCCAGCACGCGATATGTTTACTAAATCAGTGTTAAAGGTTAATAAGAAGTATGTATTATGAAGACTAGCTGTATAAAACCTTTCAACATTGAAACATTACGTTATCTAATTTATGTTTGATAAATAAATAAATTTAAAAAAAATTATTTTCAGATCATAAGTAAGTATGTTTTTTCTTAGATAAAATCCACCAACAAAAGTACTTACAACATTAACCAGATAAACAAATGCATACAAAAAATTAATACCATAAAACATACGTAATTACATGTCTCTGTCAATAATCAATCGTGGTGGTAAAAGTATTTAAAAAATAATCATTGAACTATAGATAATTCGTGTGAATATATTATTAAATGTATACGAATATTAACAATTCAGTTGATGAAATAGTAACAGATCATTAACTTTTGAACACTGCAGTCAACGCGAAACGAAACAAATTTTTTTTCACTATTCTAAGTGCCTTTAATTTTGTAAAACTGTGACCACTAAAAAATTCAACCGAATTTCAACCAAAAATTCAAACTTTTATTTTATTTAAGAATATAATAAATGATAAATAATCAAGTTTATAATTGAAAACCCAAGGTTCCTTAGTTTCTATTGTATAGCTTTAGCAAGTCCCTAAATTGTTATTGTAGGTAGGTATTGTAGTTTCTGACCTCAAGTTTAACTGTAAATAAATCTATAAATAACTACATAAACATCGGTACAAACAAAATATATAGCACATAAAAAAATTAAACATATTTTAGCATAGATATGATGACGTGCAGCTGTGTTATAAAGAATAAAGTTCATACACATTTTTGCAATACAATGTTCATTAGGGTGAAGTATAGAAAGCTGTTTAGTTGATTGTTTTTTCTTCATATTTTTTTTCCAAATGACCGTGTATCAAAGTAAAACTCGCCTATTGTGCGTACAACAGCAGTACAGATAGTTTCTAAAATATTAGTACCATTAAAGAGGAAAACATGTTTTTGTGTTGCCTACGCTTAACGTCATAATAAATTGTGAAAGCTTAGAGCCCACTACGGTAAAGGTTTACGAAAAAGGGGAAAAAATGGAATGAAATAAGCCGAAATATAAAAAGTTTTTAAGTTTTTTTTTATTTTATTCAGAACACCATAATTTAAGAGTTGGCATTTCTGGGAAACTGGTGTGACATACTGACACTTCGTACATGTTTTTCACGAGAACAAAACTATTTTTTACGACACATGTATGCAGTGTGTGTGTATGTGGATCAGTATATTATTTAATTTCAACTCTCTCGAAGGCAAAACATACAAAACGGTAATAATATATCCAGCAGAATTCCCGTATCAACTTCATCGAAAACCAACGTACTTGACCGATTTACTAAGAATGAAGAAAAAAAAATATGATACCTATAAATAATGACGACTCATTCATCAAACTGATTTTAAACCAATCTCAAATTCGATTCCTCTAGTCATGCTTATGTTAAAATTAAAAAATAGATTACCAACACCATAGACATGACGCATCCGCATGTGAAACATATTGCATATTGTTTATTCTGTATTTAAGTTTAAACGTAATTGGCCAATCCTCGTCACTGTGCCGTCAAAAATATAAAGAAATTGTTTAATTTATATTTTTAAATGATTTAATGAGTTGGTTATCTAAAAAATATACTATTTAATTATAGTATTATACTTGAAAGAGAATAATGTATTGTAATTATATAGTAATGAAAATCATCGAGGAACTTATCTCATTTCGGGAATAAGTTCAAATGGAGTCTTAATTATTTAGTTACAGTTGATATTATTCGATACAATAGCGTACAAGAACAATGCGTTGAGTGGGTTGACGTAAGTTTTTAACTTCAAAAAGTTTCAAAAACATGTGTATGAATTCTAAGGTATTAAACATCTTAAATTTAGATGTTTTCGTTTATTTGTTGCTGTTAAATTTAATAAAAACAAATGAATTTGTTACTTGATTAAGCAACATCCAGATACGATTTAATTATAATAAAACGCTGAAAATACTTGCAATAAATTCCAGTAACGTGACAGATCGCCTTTAATTTTAATAATTATAATTGCATTTTTATTTTTGGAAAATTATTCAGCATTTTAAAAATGTGTCCCTTTATTTTTAATTCGTTCAAAAAAATGTACAGTAGGCGGGTATAGCGAATATAATAAGGATATTTATTTAAAGTAAATAAAAGGATGTGAAAATATTCAACACTAATTATGTTAGTTATTTTAGAATGATGTGAATTTCGCTTTGATAAAATAATAAATTTCAAAATGGCACTGCGGGATTAAAATTTAAAAGCAAACAACAGTGTTTATATTAATCTACGAAATCAAGACACACAAAAAAAAAAAAGCTAGCCGGACTCACATAATATTCAAATTAAAAATTAAAAATAAATAGGTCCATCTACATTAATATTATTCTAATGTGAACTTTGACTAATCTGAACGAAGAGGAATTTAAAGTCGCTTATGTGTCGCACGCATGGGTGGACAAAGACAACAAAATTTTAAATTATGAACGGCCGTCATATTTAATACTATATTTTACTTTCATATTAATTATCGGTTTTAAATTATTTTAAAATTAATTACAAGCAATTAATATTTACCGACGTTAATCGTAGATAATTCAATTCAGTCTATGATTTCAATTGAGGATAAAGGTCAACAATTTAAATAATACAGGGAATTATATCTCTTATACGAATATGGTTTATTTTTGCAGCGATTGGACAAGTGCGATACTTTCACTCTCAAAGTAAAAGAAAAATAATGTATAATAATATCAATAATAATAAAAAATACCAGTCATCTGAGTATAGTTGACCTTTGATATTACTTTAACAATAATAATTATTATTTTTATTATTAATACTTATCACGCGAATGGGAAATATTAGAATGTGAAATGAGGTTATAATAGCCAAGTACCAACGAGTTGTGAATACTATATAGTCACTATTAGGTATAACGAATGTAATATGTTACTAATCAAACTTTATGATTTTAATAATCGATAAAAGATTTCAAATACCGGTAAAATAGATGTTCCAATTAATCTATTTTCATGATATTTCTATGAGATTATAGCTTCCCTTCCCTTCGACGTAATAATATATTTGTCAGATGCAATACCTACTCCCGTCTTAACCTTGAGTATAAAATCCTTCGTAGTCGGCAAATGGTCAGAGCATTACGAACCTCATAGATTATTAATTATAGTGCATTAAAATATTTTAAACAGGACAAATTACATTCACAAATTATGTTTACTGTTATACGACGTATACAAATAAGATTTTGAACGACGATGGGTTAACAAGATCGATAAAATTTTACGACTTTTTATGTTGCAAAATTGTACTATAATGTATATTATCTGGCGTATAACGTCCAATTACATAAAAAACAGTTTTGAATATTAAACGAGTGAGATATCGCAATATGGTCGACGCAGGTACTTGTATGGGTATAATAATATAATAAAACTGAAATTATTAATATCACAGCGCATTAGTTTGTTTTCTTTACAGCGACACAGGTATTTGTTTTATATATACGCTGTGGCCAACGATTTCCAAACACTTATTCAGTCGCGACTTGCTCTAACACGCACTGTACAATATTATATATTATTACAATTTACATTATAAATGCGTTCGCCGGGTACATTATATAATTGTATAATAAAATAAAATAATATGTCACGCGGTTATTCTCCCGAGGCGCACACCTATACATAATACAGCCGCGGAGACATTCATTTGGCTGTCATCAGTTTATCTGCAGCTCAAACCCCTCGCGACAAAACCGATTCCGTGATATTATTACGGACGAAATTACAATAAAATGACGTACCCGTTGCAGACGGCGACGGTTTCCCTTTTCATTTTATTTCATAATTTTATTTTTTATTTTTTTTTTAAAGCGTTTAAACACATTTTTTTGGCACCGCGCGCACAACTCACTTTCTTCACATAGCTAGTGGCTTCTTCTTCGGAAACGTGCTCGGCCGATATGCCACCTCTTCGACGGATCGATTGTTGGACGTGACTCGCCGGACCTGACGTCGGTGCCGATTGGTAGAACTCGTCTGTCTCACCGTGCTGACTGTCGCTTCCCTGCTCTTGTTCCTGAAAGAAAAAAAAAATGTTGAGAAAACGTTAAAGTTAAAGTTAAAAAAAAAAACCAAACGCCTGCGTTTTGTTGCGTTAATACTTATGGGGAATTCCAAAAAACCTACGGATATTTATTCTCGTCGAACAATATTAGTTAAAGACTAGGAAACATACAACTATAGACATATTATATTTAAAATTTTTAAAACCGCTTAAATCGTTTACAAAGTGTATTACCCGCTGTACAAGAAACTGGTATAGTTAAAAACGTATACAGTTTTTAGAAAAACATTACTGTTGTGTTTCTACGATACTATTCACGTAATTATATGTATTTGATAACAGTTACATAATAATGTTTTATACAACGTTACAAGCAACACGGCATAAGGCGTTTCTGCGATGTTTTTAGAACTTCTAAGGAAGTTGGATTGGGACTTTTCAATGTTTTTGAAAACGTTATTTCTATGCATAACTGGAACATTATTTTTCACAGTTAGATAGTCGTCGATTACTCTATTGGATTGTATGTTCAAAAGATGCGAATTGCTCGCATAAATCGTAAATTATAAGTGCAAAAATGAACAGATACAATTAGGTACCTAACACGAGCTTTTTCTATCACACAAAAAATATGCTTTTTAAAAAATAGTACTTATGCTTCGATTCGGCCGTTGTCGTCGAAACACATTTTTAGCAAAGAATGTATCGTCTACGTTTTAGACGATGCCTACATAGGAAAAGGTCATAATTTAATCAACACCCCGGAGGCTCTAAGTATTATTACCTAATCATATCGTAAGTAGATTATAGGCACGAAGGACATGGTAGTCCACGACGGTTTAGGTATGATTAGCATTAAAATATTAATGGCGAGCAGTTCAAAGAAAACGCCACACGTCTAATGTACCTGGTAATATTACTAAAAATGTGTACCTAATGCGTATTATCATGGACATAAAAAATAAACTAAAACAATAATGATAAATAATATAATATATCTTCCAACCACGTGACTCCCACGCTCGGCATTTATACGCTACAGAGTTTTGATGCGTTTATTATGCTTTTCGGTCGATTGACTGACATCAAACACAAAGCGTTTACCTTATACTATTTGAGTCAATAAACAGTGTACTAAACATGTGTGAAAAGAGTCAAAGGGTTTAATGTATAATCGATGTTACGCATTATCATACGTTCGTTAACAGAGGGAAAATATTTACGTGGGAACAAGTATTTAATTTTGTTTTGTTGTAATAATATTATGTTAAAATATAATGGCTATATGGTACAAAGTAACTTTAGTTTTTTTATTTTTATTTTTATACCATTATACGAGTATTCTTCCTACACTGTTATACCGTTTAATTCAGCGTTTAGTTAAATTCGCAGTTGCAAAACAGTAGCTTACGGTGATCCAATTTTAACATTATTTCAAGTAAAATAATTACACATATATATCTACCTTAAGTACATTGAATTTTAAATGAGAAATACTACGGGAAATCGTGGATACAAAATTAATCACTATACTTATTTCGTCCAACAGCGATTGGAAGCAGTTATGTTTTTATTAAAATATGTAAATCAACTAAATGTTTTGATATAAAGGTCATTTTTTTTAAGCCAGTGTTGGCAATACGCTCTTACTGTTAAATAACTTGAATAACTTGCAGCAAAACCTCGTTCGCATAATACAATGTCAGAATCAGAAAGACAATTTACATTTTAAATTAACTACAAACATAGGTTACCAAATAGGAAAGGCACAAATAAAACTGAGGAAGTCAAACGATGATTTCGTTAAAAAAAATAATCTAACAGGTTTGCAAATGATATTTATGTAAAAAAAAATATTCATTATTATTTGAAATTGTACACAAATCGTGTGTCATGATCACGAATCGGTTATTATACAATATATCATTATAAGCTCTTCGAAATGGCTTAGGCAGGTACTACTAACAACAACAACAAAACCAGCAAAGTAAAAACTACTTATTCCTTCAGAAACAAGTGTTTTTCATGAATCGACCGACTAGTTTTATGATGTAAGACGGATTAAATTTTACTGATTGTACGACGATATAAAAACACTGCAGCCAACACAACCAATAACAACCCGTGATTAGATGAGATTAGCTACGCACAAACGTAAAAAAATAATCTCGAAATTCGAAGAACGTTTTCATGTTTTTTCAGTTGACTTATTTTGGTATTCATAATAATACTGCGAAAAAAAACAAAGGAAAACAAAACGAGCAAAGAAAAAACATTCACAAACATCCGACCGCGGAAAATATTCATGCCGCGCGTGTTACGAGAGCGCATTCGACGTGAAAATAAGAAAAGTGGTCGCCGCTGGTCGATGGCGGCGGCGGCGAGGCGATAAATAACGCGAGATAAGGACCCATATAAATGCGGGCTGGCTATAGCGGCATAGAGGAGAATCGAATATACAATATATATATACATATATATATAATAATATAAAGGGATATGCATGGAAGGAGACGAAAGCGAAAAGGAAACGATCAGCCGGAGACGAGAAAAAAAAAAAAAAAACGAGAGAGAAGAAAAGGGAAAAATAAGGACACGGTTTTGGCCCCACCGAGATCCGTCACGAGAAATGCAATAAGCAAATCGTCGCCGTTGCCGAGGTGACCCGCCGCCGAAGGATATATTCTATATATTATTATTATTATTATTATTATAAACGTCCGTCCGTCGAGTGGAATGTCTGATCACGAATTCGCACACGTTTTCGGGACGTGGGTTTATAATATAATATTTCAGCGTTCGGGGTGGTACCCATCTATATATATATATATATATATAATAATATTATAAGGGTATATAAATGCGTGTTTATTATATTATACAGGGCGGACCGAGGGGTGTTTTCGCGTTTTAGCGGGGCCGATATTCCGCGACGTAGAAAATCGTCAAACCCGAGTGACGCGCCCTGTAGAGCCACGAATGCCTATATAGTGACGGCAAGATTGATGGTCAGTCGTATAGAGGAAGTGCCACCGATGACGTGGGGTAGTGGTCGAGGGTGGGTTGGGCCGGAGAAAAGGGGTTCAGGCCTGCGGAGATATAAATAACATCAGTCACTCTTTTTTTTTTCACGGCCAGCGATATCATATGATATTATAATATAATATATACTAACAATCGGCAGAGCATGCGGGCACCCGACGGACGACCTTATTGTACGCCGCTACCCCGCAAACTGCACCGTATTTTGGGAAACGATCGTGTTTCCAGACAATTTCTCGTGTTGTTTTTTAAGAGTACATTTTTAACGATAATAATATTTGTGCAGCCCTGAGACACCGGCGGAAGAGCTGCGCGTGATGTAATATTATTTTAGAAGGCAATAGAACCGCGAAATTCAAATAGAACATCGAGAACAAAATATGATCATGCAAGAGTCGAATCGTCGAAACGTTTAAGAGACTTGAAAAAATAGAAGAGGAATCGTCGTCGACCATAATTGGGGTCGTAGACCTGCAGCTGCCTACGGGTTGTAAAAATAAAAATGATAATATCGTCGGTAAATGGTGAAATCGTATTCATGACTTGGCTCGAAGTGCAGAGGACTCGTTAATTGATTTCTCATTATTATAATAACGACGACGAGCAGTACGACGAAGAAAGCCAAACGTCGATCGTTATTCGAATTTGTATATTTTGTCATTGGACTTGCGCCAAGTGCCTTTAGTGGTCGTCGTAGGTATTTCGGCGATAAATGTAAAACGATTTTGACCGGAAACACACTCGCCGTCCCCCTCACGAAACGTCTGTTGCTAAAACGTTTTTTGGGACCGTTCTGGGGACATATTATTCCTGTCACTATTATTATTATCATCATCATCATCATCATCATCACCATCGTGGTTTCGAAACACTGTTTGCCCCTTCGCCGGGGTTACGCGGTGCGCGTCCATTATACTCGGTCGAATATAGCACGTTGTTTGTAATTTCGGCCTCCGGCACACTTCCGGCCGTTTCGAGAGGAAGAACATTTATACACAATATTATGATAATAATAATAATAATAATAATACATCGTGATGACCCAGTTTCCGCGGGTCACCGTATATATCCTCCTCTCCGAGACAGTACTTCTACGCGCGTGCTGCTGTTTTTGCGGAAAATCTTCAATGGGTCGATTTGGTACAGCTATATATATATATATATGTATATAAATAATAATATAATATCGTACACACGACGATGCGTAAACCGTTTGACGAGGTGATGCAACCCACCCCTATTCTAGTTGCGTGTGCACATATTATACCCTTACATGCGTCGGGGGCACGTATGCTGCATGCACGTGGTATATACCATAATATAGGTACTTGGTATACGAGATTGTATATACGTGTGAAGCTGTTACGATCGCACTCGGCCACCAATAAGTGTCATCCTCTCCTTTCTCCTCCTCTCTGTTATGGTGCAAGTATTTTTCCACGACGCATATTATTTGACGGGGGCGATAGAAAAAAAAAAATCGCTACGTCACACGGAAATCGAAACGACAACGGTATACGAGAAAAATTGCTGCACTTTGGCATCGTTATTTTGTCCGGTCCAAACCCAGCCCCGAAGATTGACTATATCGATAGACATTATAATTATTATATCAATTTTAATGTGTTCTTAAAGGCTGTCTGCACGCGGTAAAATGCATCGCGATTTCGCGGTAAAAGCACTGCGCGTACCAGAGTGCCCAGCTGCAGGCACATCTGAGGTATCTAAAAGTGGTATACATGTACCGGTACATGTGATATACTTTGTAATGTCTGTAGAAAACAATTACCACGAGCGTAGCTATATTGTGTATGCCCATAATAAATCGTAAGTGTACAATATTATAGCGTCGGCGGTTTAACAACAACGAACGCCCATAGGATTAATAATCGTTAAATAAAAAAAAAACCGCTTGCGTGAATATAATTAATAACTTTTATTATATCTCAATCGGTTCGCGAGGACAAAAC